CGAGAGCACAGCTTTTTCACACCCAAATGTTTGGGTAGTATTGATTGTATTTGACTCATGCCTATGCCTAGAGATTCTCATTCTCATTCCAAAAATCTCATGGTATGTCACATGCCTGCCTGTTTTGATCATACGGCGCACAGCATCGATGTTTTTGTTGTTCACAGTAGTGGACGGGCGACCATTACGAAATTCGTCACTGTGCTTCACACGACCGCGTTTGAATTCTGCAAAGTAGCTATAAATAGTCGTCTTGCATGGTGCTTCATCGCCAAAAGCAGTTTCAAACTGAACGAAGCTCCGCTGAACTGTTAAATTACACTTAAAGTCGTAAAAAATCATACTACGAAAATTTTCACGAGTAAAATCCATGGTGATGTAGACAACCAATTTCTAAAATGACGCCACAATGTAAAAACAAGTGACAGTCAGATTAAACAAACTGTATTCTATAGCCAAAGAGTACCATTTTCAAATGTTGTAATTACTTTTTAAATATTGTTTATGTAAGTGGCCAGTTCCGGAAACTTATGTAGTATCTTTATGTATCGCTTTATTTATATAAAATTTGTAATATGTAAATGTATGTAATTTATTTATCGATTTTATATCTATTGATTTCTGAATGTTCATACACCGTCGTCTTTTCCCTGTGAGTTATAATTACACCCATCCAAAGGTTGTTTGGCAGAAATCGCTTAAAGCGATAAGACCGCCCATTGTACCGCTGCTTATTTCTTTTTATTTTAATTGTATTGTATTTGTTCCCCTTTTTGGTATACAATAAAATACAAATACAAATATATATATGTACAAAATTTTTGTATTGTATTGTAAGTATTTGCAACAGTAAAATCCAAGAATGGTGTCAAGTGTAACAATATATCAGCGTACAAAACGTAGTGTATTCATGTACGTAGACATAGAGGTGATTACAACTATTATTTTTTTACTACTACTTCAAAAAAATCTTACCGTGATATTCATTTTAACATTTAGTCTATAAATATCCCACTACCAGGTACAAAACGGGAAAAGCATACATAATTTCATTCCCTGTCAATTACGCTGCGGGTGGTTTTTGTGACCGCGGCAAACGCGGTATTCGTGAACATTTCAACGACTAGAAATGTTCGTCATTAGTTAAATTTGTTTTTTACCGTCTGCCTTATAATGGATTGCTGAAATTGTTTTATACATACGCACACGCCACATCTATAAAAAATGAGATTACTTAGTGACCTACCTAGTCACTTATTTCGCACTCAGGTGAATAAAATAACCAAGATCGGTTCCATAGTAAATAACATAAGGCCGTGTCGTTTATTATATTTAGATTCCACCAGTAATAAAGTAAATCTCTTTAAGCTTAGTAATCATATTCTAGGGAATGTTCCGTGGCGAATAGAAATACCATTCTACATATGAGGCGCCGGGAAGAGCCTCAGTGAGCCACTCAGTCGTATGTTGCGTACGTGATTACTCTCTAAATATTCCACTTTATTGTGCAATCCTCTCCTTGTCATGTGAAGAAACGATGCCTGGAGATGGCTCTGAATAATTTAGCCGGTCGGCGGCGGATGTACCATTTATCCAAATTGTCGTCTCCGACACGCCAGACCGGGAGTTAAAAATGAATGAGCCGTCAGTTTCGATTTGCACTCACACGGATTCACCTCAAAAAGCTCTATATAATACCAAGACATGTATACAGCAATGACACTTTACACGTATGTTGGTGTTTGTCACGTATATTGTTACGTAGCGCGTAACTTCCACTGTTCCATTCGTGAACTCTTGCTCTAGCGACTTAAGGATGTGATCGAAAAGTCCAAACAGGTCTCCAAATAGAAATCTGCTTACGATGATAGTTTGGGTATGATTAAGCAATAGAGCAGTAGATTTTAGTAGCAGTAGATTTCCTTGTGAAAAAGTTCGTCCAGGGTAGTACTGCCACCTTACCTATTTCTGCCGCCAAGCGTAATATCAGCATTATTGAGTTCCGATTTTGAAGGGTAAGGGTGCTGGTGAAAATACAGGCACATGGAATTTGTCAACTTATGTCTCAGGATAAGGAGCGCAATGGAAGTGCCCCTCAGATCTTTGCGATTTAAAACTCTGAGTGGCACTGCAACTCTTATGGACAGGCGTGTAGCTTACCATCAGGCGCACGACTTGTTTGTCCCGTCACTTAATGTTATAAAAAAATAAATAACAAGCACAGACATTGACAACAAGCACAGATTTAGATATAATATAGCTGTGGTAACAAGTTCGTGGCCTATTTTAAGTAAAATGGACTAGTTTCCATAAAAATGTTTAACTAGTCGTCGGAAAATTAAATGTTTCTTGAAAACCTTGGATACGTGAGCTTTATTAGCCCCAGTGGGAACGAAATGGCTCATAATTATAGCAATATTTGAATTGCCTTTTTCCATAAACAACAATCGCATGCTCACAGACTATTCTGAATGCGGCAGAATGATTATTTTCGGTGTCTGTTTCCACGTGTAGATATCGCCACCTCCGCCACCGCTGCTCTGGGCTAATTAATCTATTTTAATCTGCAAATTAATTAGTCGTATTTCGGAGCAGGTATAATTATTTTGTATTCTGCCATTTCGAAATAACGAGTATTATAATTTAATGAAAGCTCGTAGAAATAAAAGGTGCGAACGATACCAAATTTCAACGGAGGGTCGATCGTTTGAAACAGAAATGTCGAAATTGTGTAGTGGATAACACTATTTCTCCGGCAGGCATAAAACTGTAGGGGCAGGTAAATCAAATAATAAAGGAAAATTCTATTATAGTCCCCGACCTGATAGCCGAAGATTTTTTTCGATAAAGAATTATACCTTTCTTTAGCGGAAAGGCTGTGTAAAAATTTACGAGATGTAATAAAGTTATGTTAGTGAAAGTGAAGTAGGTACGCTTAGATACCACTGTATATAATGCGCAACAATAAAACCTTATTATTACTTTTTATTCAATGGGCGCTGTAAAAATTATACAAGATATTATGTAGATACGCATGATTCTGTCGAGCACAAAAATGTTAAATATCAGAGTTGTATACGACCATAAAAAATCAATCGCCTATTTTAAGAAGTCCTAGTTGATACTACAGATATGATAATTTTAGAAACGTAAGAAGGGTTTATCGTTTTATTTTTCGTTTTGACATCCCATTATAACTTCCTTTCTTAATTTCCTGTATACGCTTGAACAAAATATCGTTATCGTTGCTATGGCATACATTTATGTAGGTAATTGCTGCTCAAAACTCATCAACGCTGACCGCGTCGTTATTAACTGCCATCGAATACTCGATGTTAACTGCCATCAAATCTTCCAGTGAGTAGGTTTACGGCACACATATCACGATATAAGCTGGGCTAGTTTGAACTGCACAAAAACTGGTTTAGAAATTCCCCATCAGAAAACACCATCTGAAAATTCATCCCCTGAACATAATTATTGTTCATGCTCCGGACAACCTAAATTCAAAGCTTTTTATGCAGCTCCACATTGACCATGAAGCTTCATTCACATCATGCAGCTTTTATTTTGATCGAGTATTACTTATTTGACAGTAATGCTCTGGCCACACAGAGGCGGCCGCGGAAGCGTTCGCGGGAATTTTTGTAATGTACGAGTTTATATGAACGCTTCCGCGGTCGCCTCTGTGTGGCTCGAGCATAAAGGTTGATTCACGTTACACCCGTGCCGGGGCCGGGCCGTGTTTCGGTCGTGCGCCGGCCGTGTCACGGTCAAAATATCTATATTATGCTTTTGTATGAACTAATTCATGTTACACCGGGCCAATTTCTTACCCCGATCGGAACACTACCTGCCGGTTTAACATGAATTAGTTCATTTAAAAGCATACTATAGATATTTTCCTGTGCCAGGAGCACACGGCCCAGCCTCGGCATGGAACGTGAATCAGCCATTGTTTCGG